ACACACACACACACACACACACACACACACACACACACACACACAGCCTATATGAGGAACCCTACAGCCCGACTCTATCTATTCTTTCTTTGCTGGATTCTCTCTCTCTCTTTTTTTTTTTTTTTGGTCTCTTCTCACCCCACCCTTTTATAAGGTAGGTGTGAAGGTGTGAAGACAGGGAACAGAACAGAGTTTCCACAAAGGCCCAACACTTTCCTGTCTCCCTTCCATCTGCCCAAATGCCTTCTTCCTAAACCCAGGTCTGCTGCCTGCCCTGCCCCACTGAGTGCAGAACAAGTTGGAATTTCCTGGCCTCCTCTCCTCCACCATTCCTTCCTGACCTCCAAACCCATGACTCTCTATAAACCCTTGTCTACACACTTCCTTCAAATTCCAGCTTGCTCAGCCTCCCCTCTGTCCATGGGATGCTCCTGGCACCTGGGCCAACAGGACTTTTCCACCTTCCCCAGTCTGCCCATTCTCCTAAGGCCTAGATAGAAGTGTGGTTCCTTCAGGAAGTCTCTTAACCTCCCAGCCCTGGATCTCTCCTCTGACAATCAGGGCACTGGACCATTCATTTACAATCTGCTGTTACTATTTATTATGTTCTGCTTTGAATTATGAACTTTTGTAATTCCCAGCTACAGAGATCAGCATACCCTTCTAATTACCCACCCACCTAGTAACGTTCCTTGCACATAATAAGTACATAAAGGACGTTAGTAATAGTGGAGCTATGCAGTGCTGGGATGGGGGGGAGGAGCAGAGTGCCTGGAGGCCTGGCCTGGGAGAACGTGCCTTTTGATTCAGGGACTTACCTATGTTTCCAGGGCTGGCTACCAGAACACTCCAGGCTAATCTTTGCACATGAAGGTCAGACTTCCCTACAGTAGGATTCTACTTTCATAATTAGTTTCCCTGACTGTCCCCACGCACAGCCATTGCATTTTCTGGCTTTTTAACGTTAGCAGGATATCTCTGCTTTCCTCACCCACCAGGGCCAGGGAGGTCACTTCTATGCTGTATCTTGTGCAGTGACTCTGTCCCTATCAAAATATCACCAACTTTTCCTACCCTCTCCAGAGGGCCAACCAAGTGCCTGCCTTCCTGTTCCTGCTCCAGCCGGCAGCAGAGGTGGCATTGCCTGTTCACTGCAACAATGTAGCTCCACCAAACTGTCTTGCAGGCAGGCCAGGCTGTCTAGCATGTTCTTGACCCAGCCCCACAGATGCCCTGGACCATATTTAATGTGGATCAAGCCTCCTTCTTCTCTAAGGACAGACCATCATCTCTGCATCCATGGCTTGCTTACAACATGGCCACAAGAAGTTAATTTCAGGTCTACTGACAGCTTCAGTTCAAGGGCCTGAGCCAAGCTTTCAGAAAGGAGCTCTTTCTTCTTTGTTTGTTGTAGGAAAGATGTGAGGAGGAAGGGTTCTCTCCAGCCAGGGCCCCTGCAGCTGGAGGTCTGGGAGAAATCCTTACTGGAATTTGAAAGTCTTAATACCACGTCTTACAGTTCAGGAGCCTAGAGCAGGCTTTCTGCTTGGGGAGAATGCCCACTGTAACTCTCATGAAGAACCGTTCTCTAACGATGCCCAGCTTTTCCCAACCACCCCATACCCAAATAACCTCTACCAAGTTTCTAGGTTTCTTATTAAATACAGTCATCTCCTAATAAATATAATTAAAATTTCTACTCACCAACATAGGTCCACTTGGATCCTGTAAAGAACAGAGGAACAAATAAGCACAACACAATGGAGTTCTCAAATGGGTGAGACTGAAAAGGACATCAGTGCCCCCGAATACCAACTTCTGACTTGGAGCCAGAACCGTGACTCCTTGGAGCCGTGCTCCACACAGAGCTCAGGATGGGGACTTTGTGGACTCAGCAGGTAGCATCTGGAATAGATCCCACTCCCAGACATCTTAGGAAAGCCAAACATTATTAACTGGGCAGGGGAGTCCGTGTGACTTGAAACCCCAAAGCAATCCAAGTATTCATCCAATGGAAGTGCTCTCTCCCACCCTCCCTTCCCTCGTCTAGTAGACACCTTGTGTGTGGGGGGGGGTGATGGTGGGCTCCCCACAATGGGCCAGACACCCACGTGTTCTATCCCTCCCCTACTAGAAACACTGTTTAGCATCTTGCTTTTTTCCCCGCTTGACAACATATCCTGGAGAACTCATCACATCAGTACCCGGAGAGCAGAAAACTCCCGCAAATGGAAGCTGTGTTTCCCCCAAGGGAGCTGCCATCTTCAGCTGAGTTACAATGCCAGCAGCGGCAGAAATGTGGAGGAGAGATTCTGTCAGGAATAGAACCCAAGCAGCCCACCTGCTCCCACTCTGAACCTTTCACACCTCACACAGGCCCTTCGTCCTTCCATCCAATGATTTTAAACACTTGTTACCGGACTCTGCCTGTAACATCTGTCATCCAGCCTGCCCACTCTCACCTTCTTCTGGAAGAAGACTGGAAACCCAAGCTGGGTGAGATGGGTCTCCCTGTTCACTGGGGGGCAATCCAGCTAGGGACAGTACAACTCGTGAGCGCCTCTCTCTCTCCTGGATCTCTGAGTGTCTGTGGTTGAGAGGAATAGCCTGAAGACTAAGAACTGGCCTCCCCTGTCTCCATAAAACATAGTGTCAAGACTCTGGCCACTCACCAGGAGCAGGAATTTCCTACTCAAGCCAATGGTGGTTTCTAAAAGCTGAAAGAGAACTTTGCTTTTTTATCTCTTTCTTTTTAATGTTGACTTCATCTCCTTCCCCCCCATTATTACTATTACTGCTTTGTTTAATGTCTTTGCCTCCATGTTAATTTTGTTTTTAATTTTCTAAGTTAATTGGTAATTTTGATCAAATGAGACATCTGTACATAGTTTAGAGCCAGATGGCTCCACAAGGCTTTTTAACAACTATCAGCTCCCCCTCCACCCCCCGCAAGTCACTTGCCATTTACTTACTTCCTAGGACAACCATTTTTGGTTCTTTTAAATAATACTTTTAGTATTTCCCCCATACCTTAGAAAGCATGTTTATTTTGTCCCCATTTGGGTTTTGTAGACTCAAGCACTATTTATTGACACCCTACCTTGGAAGAGAAGGATTTAGTTTTCACAGGTGAAGTGACCTGTCTTAGACCATGTGCCTACTAAGAGTCTCAGCACATCTTCATTCATGTACCATGTTCTCAGGAATTTCAGCAGCTCCCTAGCAGGGGTCAATCTCCTCCTAGAATAGAACCATTGCCTTTCCCAAAAAGGCTGGATTTGGGCAGCTCAGTGGTGCCTGTTGGAACCTGCAAGCCTGGCTGGCACTGGGCAGGGAGATGCCCTGAGGAAAGAGGATTTAGCAAAGTCCAGGCCAGGGGTTCAGGGTCCTGTCCTGCCTGCTTTCTGCCTTGGGTGCTAGCAGCTTCCAAGTGCTAATGACTGCATCCAGGCAACTTGAGCCTGTCCAGCTCTCCACCTTCAGTTCAGGCCAAGCTCGCTGAAATGGCCCTCGGCCACAGTAACAAAGAGCTCCATTCTGTCTCCAGAAGACCTTCAGCTTCACTGTATGCTCCTCCCACCCCTGGACCAAGGGCTTTTCTTGAGCATTTATTAGTGCCAACTGTGACAAATTCCAATCCCCCAAGTATCAGGCAGAGCACACTTTGACCCCTTACTCAGCTAACCCTCCAGCCCTAACCTGGGATTAACTGGCCTTCTGTCCACCTCAGTGAGTTTTGTTTGACTTTATCCCCTGAGGCAGACAAGAAACCGGCCCGATGAATAGCAGTATAACAGCTTAGAACCTAGAGGCAGAGAAGACTGGTCAGTGTCAGGCGGAAGTGGGGTGTTACTACAAGCTCCCCCTAAGGCAGTTTGGAGGATGAGGAGGGAAGGAGGGGCCGACAAGGAGGAGGATGGGGAGTAGCTGTCAGAGAGAGGGAACCCCAAACTTGGAAAAAAAAAAGATCAATAGAAAAAGCCCTCCTCTCCTCTGTGTAAGGTGTTCAGTACTAAAAAGACTTCTGGTGAACGTCAGTCTCCACAGATTTCCTGAGAGTTAGCAGTTAGCCAGAGTTAGCAGCTTTCAAAACTGATTCCCATTTGGGGGGATTTCTCCCACCTCCTGCGTCTTCCTGACTGTGGGGGGAGGGAGGTGACAGTAGGCAGACCCTGCCCGCCAGGAGATGAAGATTCAGTGGAGGAATAGCTTGTTGCTCACAAGTCCAGCGTTCCGCACAGGCACAGTGACCTCCTCCCAAGAGGAAGGAGCGCAGAACTCTGAGACCGCTGAGCAGGACTGATGCTCTCTCCCTGCTGCCTAGCTGGAGGGGTCGGTTCTTTCAGCCATTATGGTCACTCTTGGTCCTTTCTATAAATGTTGCAACCCAGGAACTATAGAGCCACAAGTATCTCCACGATGTGGAGATTGTCACAAGCAGGACCTACTCACCGCCCTCTCCCCAAGAAGGGCAGCTGAGAAAAAGACAGGCTAAAGCCTGCTTTCCCGTTCTTGTTCCAGGGGAGTTAATTAACCAGGCTTTGGACGGGAGCCCACAGCTCACGTTCCTCTTCCCACCTCATCCCGACACCCCCCATTCAGCACCCCTGCCCTTTGGAGTTCAGCCCCTTATTACAATTAGAAATAGGGGGTGCACGTGCACACACACTTGTAGGTTCAGGGTGGTAGAGTCCTCTAGGGGAAAGACAATGATTAAGGATGGGCTACCTTATCCCTTTGACATGTAGGTGAAGCCTACTAACTAACTGCCTCTGAGGGTTCTGAAGACCAACCAGCCTGACTCCCCTTTTTGCGGATCGCACCCCTCAGGAAACCAGTCATTTCTCAGCCCTCTGCAGGTGGTTCCGGAATTCCGGCTAGCAAGTTAACAAGCCCCATCTCCAAAGCTAGTGGTGCTCAGAAAAAAAGGCAAACGAGTTACGCCAGCCGTGCACAAAGCGCCAGCTAAGAAGGCAACGTGTCTCCAACCTCAGTAGATCGTGGATCCTAAAGGAAAAGCGGGCATCCTTCCTTGAAAATGTGCTTGGCACACAGCTCCTTCCTGCTCCCTCAGTAGTGATTTTACTCTATCTTGCAAGAGCCTGCTAAGAAATCCTTCTGCTCAGGCACTGCGGAGTGTGCAGGACTGGGAGGGAAAAAAAAAAAAAAAGCAAGCAGAAACTTTACCGTTGAGCGGGGCCGAGCTGGAAAGCTGCTCCTTTAGGATCACCAACAGGAGGACTACAGCCGCGCGCAGGGGCATCTTTGTCCCGGCGACTAGAGGCTGCCGCTCGCTTTAGGGCTGCGAGGCGCTAGGAGCAGCCTGGGGAGCAACAGCCTAGCCTGGGCGCAGCCTAGGATCCCGGCGTGCTCCTCCGCAGTGTAGGCTCCTGGCTGCCCCTAGGCTGCTTTTTAAACCGCGACTCTCAATCCCAAGCATGATGTCATCGTGCAAGGGGGCGGGGGCAAAAACGCCCAGCCTACCCGAGGGCTGGAGCCCCAGGTCCGAGGTGAGTTGCAGTCCTGACTTAAGTGGCCTTCCATGGCCCGCGCTGCTGCGCGCTGCTCCACCTGGAGAGCCAGTTCTCCCAGAGAGCGATGGGAAGTCGGGATCCATGCATCACTTCACTGGATGTGGCTGTGGTCTGTCACGGACCTTCCTTGAAAGCCCTCGCATAGGATGCTGTTTGAGCCAAGGCCCCCTTCAGGGACTGAATGCTTCCGCTTGGTCTGGACACGGGTTAGCTAAGTAGCTGTGAATTGCACAGCACATCCAGATTAAGCTCCTTTCAATGAAACCACAAAGAGACTGCAAGTAGGAAAATGGTATAATTGGATTCACAGGAATGAGCAGCTTTACTCAGCGATTAGAATTTCCCCTAGGAAGAGGTTTGCTCCTTCTGCAAATTCACAGTCTCTGCCCAGCCTCAGTAGGAAGCTGGGGGAGAAGGTGCCCTCTCTGGAGCAGTAGTGAAAGAAAAGGTCTGGCATCACTACTGAGTGTCTAAAAGCATCAGAGACTGGGCTGGGTGTTGTGTGTCTCAGTCTGGATCAGTGGCCAAGCTGTTTCCAGTGCACGTTTACCACCTGTTGCTACTTCCGCCCACTTTTCTCCCATCTCTGCCTGCTTTGCAACAAGCACACTTATGCTAGGTGAAAGCATGCGGTTCCGACCTCCTTCGTGTTTAGCCCATGTCCTGCTAAGTCTTACTGAGCTGAGGCCCTATGGTTCCCCCATACTTAACGCCTCTATCTTCTGTGTGCTATTCCCACCCCTGCGACTGTTTCCCTGGATCTTCCATGTGTCTCTCTCTGCACCACTCCAGGGGTGAGGGCTGAGTAACCCTGCCCTCTCCCGCCTACACACATGGCTGAGTATATAACCCCCGAGTTTGTAACCTGGCCATCATGCCCGCTTCTCGGGGCCAAGGCAGCCCTCTCCAGTCTCTGTCTGTTGATACTCGGCCAGTATAGACTGAAGCTGGCCTTGGTGACCAATGAAGCCACTTGGAGAGCTTGGAGAGGCTGAGCAGCTGGGAAACACCAGGAAGCAGGAGCTACCTGCATTTCAAGGGGTGTTACTGTTCTGTCCTTAACAGCTCAGCTATTGTGTGGGTAATAAAGGGCTTGAAATCTCTTCAAGGAAGTTGTTACAATGACAATTTTGTCACAAGCATTTCCAGACCACAATAAGCTTAAGGGTGACCTTTTCTCCGCAATAAACGGCCTTGAGGGAGCTCTGGAGTGGCCTGGGCAGTGTCTTTAGAAGCTGAAATGGACAAAGGAACACAAGAGCCAGGGAGACCCCTGCAGGTTCAGAGGTGCAGATTCTGGGCCTAGGGAAACAAACCATGGCTAGTTCCAGGCAAACCGGACCACGCCCACACACCTGCATGTGCCCCTCCCACGCCAGGTGTTTTTCAGTATGTCTAACAATGTTCAGTTCAACTTCTCCTGAAGTGTTCACTTTAACAGAATCCCCCAAGATGGAGACATGAAAGGAGAGAAGGGTGGATGTAATAAAACACGAAGACCAGCTCATAAACTAGGTTCCACAGAGAGAAAGTTCATGGCACTATTGCCTGTCTCTCTCAGAAAGCTGGCTAATTAGTAAAGAATGGTTAACAAAGGGATCAAGAATATAAGCTGAAGCCTGGTGTGGTGGGTCTCGGCACGTGGGAAGCTGAGGCAAGAGGATCTCTGAGCTATGTGGTACAACCTTGTGTTAAGAAAAAGAGGGCAGGATAATGCGGGGGGCGGTAATGAGGAGGAGATGGCTCAGAGAGCCGAGGTGCTGGGAAACCTAATGTCCTGAGTCGGTCCTTAGATCCCACAGGGGAAGGAAACAAGTGACTCCTTTAAGGTGTTCTGTGACCTCCACAACTGTCAAGGCATAATAATAATTATGTCAAGAATAATAATAAAGTTTTTAAAAAGAAAGGGCCAGGAGTGGTGGCGCACGCCTTTAATCCCAGCACCTATGAAGCAGAGGTAGGCAGATCTCTGTGAATTCAAGACTATTCTGGTCTACATAATGAACTCCAGCCCAGCCAAGGACAATGCTGAGATCTTGTTCCAAAAGAAAGATAAAGAAAGAAAGAAAGAAAGAAAGAAAGAAAGAAAGAAAGAAAGAAAGAAAGAAAGAAAGAAGGAAGGAAGGAAGGAAGGAAGGAAGGAAGGAAGGAAGGAAGGAAGGAAGGAAGGAAGGAAGAGGCAGAGAGAATTGCCATAAGGGCTTAGAGTAAATTTGATGGGGAAAAATATTTTTAGAGGATCAGAAGTGGGAAAGCAAATTGAAATAGATAGAAGGACCAAACTTCAAAAGCAACTTGCTCTAACCAGTTCCCATCCCCAGCTCTGGGTATCTTTTCCCTGCTTGAGGAAACTGCAACTATACAAGTGAGCAGCTTTGACGTCATCAAATGGGCTTGTCGCCTGCCAAAGAACAGCCATCACTCATTGATTTAGGGTGGGGCTTCTGTGCACAAAATGTGGTAACTAGCCATCAAACAGATCCAGGGAACAGCGCTTGTTTAGTGTTCTGTCTGAACAGACCCGAGGGCCAGACTGGAGAGTGGAAGGCAGAGGGGGTGGAGGAAAGACACCAATTGGCTGTCTAGAGTCTGGACTGAAAGAGCTTGCCACCCACTTCATGCCAATGTTCCTGTCTGTAAGAGGAGTAAGCCCTGCCCCTGGTTGCCTAACAGAATCCATATACAACTAGAAGGAGGGACAAGCCAGTGAAAACATTTTGTCCATTCATTCATTCATTCATCTTTCCATCCATCCATCCATCTTCCATGTGTCAGGAATGGTGCTAGGCAAGGTCTTGTTCTTGGAGGGCACACAAGCAGAAAGCAAATGATCACAGGAATGACAGAGAATTATAATTGGAGCGGTGCAGTGGAAGGTAGGTGTATAACCCAGAAGGCCTCATCCAGCCCTAGGGTGCTGACAGGAGACATCATCAATGTGAAATAAGATTCCATGACTTCATAAACCCTTTGAAATAACAGCTACTGCCGGGCTCCTCCTTTCCAAGGCAGCAGCCATTGGGTATTTGCCTGTTCTGTAAGCTGTCAGCCTTTCATGTGGACTGGCTAGATATTGAGAGCTCCATTTCTTCTATTAAAGTTATATATAGGAGTCAGGGGAGGAGGTGATGTATCAAGAGTGCAGGTGCCCGAGGAAGTCAGAAGAGGGTGTTGGATGGTCCTGGAGCTGAAGCTGCCCCGTGTGGGTACTGGGAATGGAACCCAGTCCTCTTTGAGAGCAGTACATGATTTGAACCACTGAACTTTCTCTCCATCCCCAAGAATTTCATTTCGTAAGGTAAGCTCCATAAACACTGTCGCTTAGTTGGGAGAATTCATCCTTGTACAAAGCCAAAGAAAGGACTGCATGAGGAAAACTACCATTTATTGATTGTCTACTGTGACAGTGTGCGGCACTTCATTCCTAAAATCGCCTGTGGGGTAGCATTAAGTTTTAGGAGTCTGAGGCTTGGAGAAGCTCAATCCTTTCTTGACACAGATTCACAAAGCTTTTGAATAGGCAAAGACTATAGTCTTGACCCAGATAATTCTGTCCCCAAGACCAAGACAGGCTTTTCCATGCTTCGGATGGGGTTGTTTTATTTTTGGATTCCTCTGAGATGTGGATTCTCTAATTTTCTAGATGTCTTAGTTCTGTATTTACTGATCAGAGGCAAGATGTACCAGTTCAACCATCGATTCTCAGCAGGCGACATGGCTGTGTCTTCCTCTCCAAGGCCCAGAGAGCAGAGATGGAGATGGAGGGTCCCCTGATCGACACAGCATCTGATGAAATGTGATGGCAGGAACCGGAGACCTCACTCCGAGCTCACAGTTCCCCAGTAAGTGGGGAGAGAATGAGTCCTTCTACACAGCTCCTTGTTCTATTAATGAGCTGTGCTCCGACCAGGAAAGAGGGGGTGGGGCAGAAGAGGGGGGGAATCAGAAGAGGGAGGGGTCAAGAGCAGGGAGGGGAGAAGAAGGAAGAGGCTGAGTCTTCCTTTAACTGAAGCAACGTCTGTGTCAAAACTTGTGCAGCTCATTGATATGGATGCAAAGATGCAGAGAGTTTTATAGCTTCGTTCACACCATGCAACCATGGCGTGGTTTCATAACCTCTGTGTGAACTGTAGCTACTCTGCTCAGTTTCAGGCAGGATCAATAAGAGGACAGTGTGACCTGGAAGAAACGGTGCCAAACTCCTGGCTCTGCCAGGAACCAGCCCTGGAACCTTCACAAGCCTCTTGTCCAGGGTCTGCCTCTGTTTCCTGATCTCTTAGCTGGAATAAGAATGTCCGATCCCATACAGGTTTGAGGCCACAGGTGTGGAAGTGCTTTGAAATAAAATCAAACACTCCCCCTCTCTCCCTCTCCCTCCCTCCCTCCCTCTCTCTCTCTCTCTCTCTCTCTCTCTCTCTCTCTCTCTCTCTCTCACACACACACACACACACACACACACACACACACACACACACACACACACAAAGGTATTGCTCCTGAGAGTGAGCTTGAAATAAAAGGAAGCTGGTAGACTCTCAGCTTTAATGTTCTAGTCTCAGAATATGAAAACTGGGTTCCAGTGTGGGAATTCTCACCCCATTCCTGCCTCTGGTTACCATGGTGTTGCTTGTAGTCCAGTTACTTGTCCACTGAATCCTTCAGCTGCTACTCCTGCTGAATGTGGAATGATGGCTGTTAATCGGGGTCTTTATCAAATACCGTGCATAACTAATTTAAAATCTTTAAAGGTTCACAATTCTACATACAGGGCAATGTATCATTTTAAGGGAGGAAACCCTGAGGCAGTATTCCTTACCTCTTTCCAGGTATCTAGAAAACCGTGCTTAGCTGACATGAAGACAGACCGC